AGCCCCACGTTAAGCTCTGTGCTGACAGTTCAGAGCCTGGAGCCTGCTTCGGATTCTCTGTCTTCCTCTTTCTCTCTGTGCCCCTCCCCTGTTCATTCTCTGTTTCTGTCTCTTTCTCCCCAAAATAAATAAACATTTAAAAAATTTTTGTTAAAGAAGGAAATCAGCAGTTCTTCAACTGTTGTCCTTTGTTGGTTTAAAACCACAACAAACAAATCCTATCAGGGATCGCCACAATATATATAAAGGAACTTAGAACAATATCTTGTTAAGGACACAAAAGTTCAAATTAAAAAACAAAACAAAAACACCGTGAGACTGAACAATAGCAACTCTGGCATCCATTACAAAATGCATATTTCATAAAAACAACTAGTGTAACCTCAGAGCAGTCTATTAAGTTCTCTGACACATTTTAATCTTCAAAAAACACAATGCATTCTCCCACTCAGTAAATGTTCTTGAATATATATTATGCAGCAGGAGCTATAGGAAGTCCAAAGTTCTATACCAAAAGTTCCCTACTCACAAGGAAAATGCTGTCTGCCATTTTCCAGATGGCAGGAAGGGAGAGGAGGAAGTGAATGACAAGAAGCTTCTCTTCCAAGGGATGCGATCCAGTTTTACTAACAAGGAATGCCGTTTAGTGAAGAAGGGGAATCGATTTCCAAGTAGAATGAGAAAAGTGTCACTTATTCCTATAGGGATGTTAGAGTGCAAGAAACAGGTGGCAGCCTGAGAAAAGCACACTTTCACAAAAGCTTAGATGGAAAAGGAAGGAGAAAAATATATTAGCTGAAGGAGAGCATAGAGAAAGGTATTTAAAGTATAGTCAACAAAGTTTTATTGAGTACATGCCCTATGCTCTGAAATGTTTTAGGCTCTGGAGATTAAGTAGAGAATAAAATAGACGGTGTCCCTGGGTATCAGGGAATAGGCCAAATCACTATAACAAATAGGTCCAAGCAAACAGTAATTTTTAAGAGAACACAGTTTTTTTTTCTCTTGTGTAATGGTCCAGAAGTCTATGGTTGATCCAAGGGAGGGTGTACCTCTGCTTTCCGAATTAGTCTGGGACCTAGAAGAAGGGGGAAGTTTTGTCTTCCTTAATATATAGCCTCCATTTCTATAGCATTTTCCCCCCTATCTTCCAGACAGCTGGAAGGGAGAAGAGGAATGTAGATGTCAACAGCTTCTCTCTTTTAAGGGACATGATCCATTTCTACTTATATCTCATTGGCCACAGCTTTTTTTTTCCCCTCTGTTTATTATTCATTTTTGAGAGAGAGAGAGAGAGAGAGATACAGAGTGTGAGGGGGAGAAAGGGACACAGAATCTGAAGCAGGCTCCAGGCTCCAAGCTGTCAGACCAGAGCCCAATGCGGGGCCCAAACCCATGAACCATGAGATCATGACCTGAGTTGATATCAGAGGCCCAAATGACTGAGCCACCCAGATGCCCCCACAACTTTTTGATATAACCACACTTAGCTGAAAGGGAAGCCAAGGAATTCTCCTTTTTAACTGGGTCACCAAGTGCCTTGCTAACATTTGGGGGTGGAGGTATAACAGAATGAAAACTGGTGATGTGGAGCATATATTCTGGAAAGGGAAGACAACTACAGGCAAATGAAGAGCAATTTTGATGGCACGATGGCATGAAGGCCTGAGAAGAGTGAATTCAGGGGAAAATAGGAGAATATAGGATTAGAAAAAGTCAGTATGACTTTCTCCTTTGAGGAGAAAAATGTGAGTGACTTGAACATATGCTGAAAGTAAAGAAACAGTAGAAATGCAGAGAAAAGGAGAAAATTGATGGTGCGAGGTCCCAGAAGAGGAACATACAGGGGCCCTCCTCTTCCTCTGTGTCAACTAGAAGAAGGAAAGAATGGGAGTGAATGATGTTGGGGAAGGAAAGAGAAGAGTATAGGAGGCTGTGGGAAATTCCTACCAAATACCTTACATTCTCTTTCTGAAGTAGGAAGTAACGTCATCTCCTGACAGTGAGAGGAAATGTTTTCCTCTGCTATGTATGTGATAGGAGTGGATAAGGAAGAAACTTATATTGATTTGGTAATTTGGGTCCAGGGCCTAGACCATTAAGAAGACTGGCAAGACAGTGTTTGAGGTGATGAATCCTGTGGTATCCCCCCCCCCCCCACACACACACACAGCAGTTCAGTTCTTTCTCCAGCCTCCACTTCTCCAAAAGCAGGAATGGAAAGATGCCTCAGACCACTTCAGGCAATGCTCTGCCCAAACTCATCCTCTTACCAAAATGATTTGCCTTGGAGAAGGACAGCTACCATATGTTTGCACATATAGGAGGATTGGGAGGAACTTAATGGAGGACTGTGGGGGAGAAGAAGGGGGGAAATAGGGGAGGAGAGGGAGAGAGGCAAACCATGAGAGACTCTTGAATGCTGAGAACAAACTGAGAACTGATGGGGGTGTGGGGGGGGGAGGGGGGAGATGGGCATGGAGGAGGGCACTTGTGGGGATGAGCACTGGGTGTTATACGGAAACCAACTTGACAATAAACTATTTTTAAAAAAAGAATTACTGGGGCGCCTGGGTGGCTTAGTCGGTTAAGCGTCCGACTTTCGCTTAGGTCATGATCTCGCGGTTCGTGGGTTCGAGCCCCGCGTCGGGCTCTGTGCTGACTGCCAGCTCAGAGCCTGGAGCCTGTTTCAGTCTGTGACTCCCTCTCTCTCTGACCCTCCCCTGCTCACGCTGTCTCTCTCTCTCCTAGAAATAAATAAAAAACACTAAAAAATTTTTAAAAGAAAAAAAAAGAATTACTACTCTCACATTAAAAAACAAAAAACAACAAACGATTTGCCTTGAAGATCATCAGGATTAAGCTCATTTTGCTATTTACACACCAATCACCACAAACCCCCAAACACCCATTTTTAAGCATGAACAGATAAGCAAAGGTTGCCAGACATCTCAAGGAAGCCTGTGTCAGATTTGTGACACTTGCGACACTTGCTTGTGACACTTGTGGCCGCACCATTCACTCGGTTATGGGAACCAGAAACCTAGAACCTTCTTTCTCCCTCCCTCACTTTGTCCCTCAATCTCTGTTCATTCCATCTTCTAAATATTCCCCACACACTTCCCTCCATTCCCACCCTGCATATCCCTGGTAGTTTGGATTACCATAATCTCTCATTGGGACCCTTACCCTATCCTTTCCTTTTCTCCTGAAAAACTATGATACCACTTGCCTAGTTAAACACCTTCAATGACTGTGTCATTGTATTTAGGACAGACCCACTACCCTGGTTTCCAAATGCCTTTCTGATACAGCATGTTAATCTCTCCCCACTTCCTCTGCTCATCCATCCACACTTGACCACTTCCCCACTGCAATGCCATCCCTCCTCAACTTGCATTTACTCTTCCTCTGCTCCAGAAGTCTCTTCTCTTCTAATTCCCTCCTTTCTGTTCCCTTCTGCTTCTAATTCCTCCCCAAATTCATCCCTCTAGTCTCACCCTAGGTGTCCTCAAGGAAGCCTTCCTGACCTCCCTACACTACGGAGGCGCCTCTGATCCAGCACTGTTAGCCCTTACAAGGCATCCCTGTTTTCTGCCGGGACTACTTCTTTTTTCTTCACTTCAGTTCCCCAGCATTCCAGGACGGTGTTGGGTACACAATAGTCATTCAAGGGGTGTTTGTTGAATGAGTAAATGAATGAATAAACGTGAACCAAATACCGTGGAGTTTCTATTCCATGTATGGCCTGCAATATACTGTTAATGGAAATTTAACTAATTAAACGACCTAAAGTGTGTATAATACTTGGACCAACAAAACTAATAGGCAACCAACGGAATGGGAAAAGATAGTTGCAAACGACATATCAGATAAAGGGTTGATATCCAGAATCTATAAGGAACTCACCAAACTCCACACCCGAAAAACAAACAACCCAGTAAAGAAACGGGCAGAAGATATGAACAGACACTTCTCCAAAGAGGACACCCAGATGGCCAAAAAACATATGAAACGATGCTCAGCATCCCTCCTCATCAGGGAAATACAAATCAAAACCACACTGAGATACCACCTCACTCCAGTCAGAGTGGCTAAAATGAGCAAATCAGAGAACTCTAGATGCTGGCGAGGATGTGGAGAAACGGGCACCCTCCTACACTGTTGGTGGGAATGTAAACTGGTACAGCCCCTCTGGAAAACAGTGTGGAGGTTCCTCAGGAAACTAACAATAGAACTCCCCTATGACCCAGCAATATCACTGCTAGGAATTTACCCAAGGGATACAGTATTGCTGATGCATAGGTGCACATGTACCCCAATGTTCATAGCAGCACTCTCTACAATAGCTAAAACATGGAAAGAGCCTAAGTGTCCATCAACAGACAAATGGATCAAGAAGATGTGGTTTATCTATACCATGGAATACTACATGGCAATGAGAAACAATGAAATCTTGCCATGTGTAGCAACATGGATGGACCTTGAGGGTGTTATGCTGAGCGAAATAAGTCAGGCAGAGAAGGCAAATACCATATGTTTGCACGTATAGGAGGATTAACGGAGGACCATGGGGGAGAAGAAGGGGGGAAATGGTGGGGGAAAGGGAGAGAGGCAAACCATGAGAGACTCTTGAATGCTGACAAAAACTGAGAACTGATGGAGGGAGGGGGGAGGGGGGATGGGCATGGAGGAGGGCACTCGTGGGGATGAGCACTGGGTGTTATGTGGAAACTAATTTGACAATAAACTATTTGTAAAAAAAAGTAATAAATAAATAAAGTATGTATAATACTTGGGAAAACTCCTCTCAGGGACTCAGTCCAGGTGCGCGTGCGGGGGTACCTCCCGCAGGCCGCAGAGGCGGGGCCTTCGGGGGCGCAGAGGGAGCGCCGGAGCGGAAGGCGGGGTCTCCTGGGCAGTGGCCCCGCCCCAGGGCGGGGCCACTCCGGGGCGACGGAGGGCGGGGCTTCCAGGCGGGGAACTATCCTTGGGAGGCCGAGGCGCGTCCGCGTGTGCCGGAGGCGCGGTGGTAGGGTCGTGGGTCCCAGCAGGGTGGCCTAGGTTATTGGCCGCGCCTCTGCGGCCGCCATCTTTCCCGCGTCCGGACTCCCACGGCGGGAGGGGCGGTGACCAAGCCGGAAGTGGCTGTGCGGTGACCGCGCTGCCTCCTCAGGTCAGTGAGTGCGGCTCGGGCCGCGCGGCTCAGCCCACCAGACGGAGGCCCGGATAGTGGGCTCGGGAGTGCCGGGGCCTCCGCTGGGAGCCTGGGAAAGCCTAGTTGAAAGGCCCGGGCGGGGGCGGACCCAGGGGCCATCTCGGAGCCGAGGCGCGGGGCGTCGCGTTCCCCGCTGCGGGATAACCGCGCCGGGCGGCCGGCAGGGCCTAGCTGGGAGCCTGGGCGCTGCACGCGGCCCCCGGGCGCGCTTGGACCCCCTTGGGGACGCTGAGTCCGCGCTGCAGCCACCCGCGCGGCGAGTGCGTGCGGAACCTCGTCCTTGCGTTGGACGGGAGGCTCAGCCAGGTGTCTGGAGCGTGGGAGTGGCCCTCAGATTCCTGATTTACCCGGAGTAGCAAGAGCCTCGTTCTGGTTGTACTTTATTAAATACTTCCTAAAGGGCTTGTCACCCGGTTAGCTGTGTTTTCGGCTTGTATGAGTAGTGAAATTCCGTAAGAGGATGAATAAAGCCTTTCACGTGTGCCACGAGCATTGCTGAAATGATTTGCAAATACCTGCATTTGCAGGCCTTTTGTAGAACTATCTTTTAAAGGAAATTTATGCAGTGTATCTCCTTGAAGATGGTGAGGTTGAACATTTCTTGAAACTGCTGCTGTTGGTATTTGTTATGGTAAGAAAAGTAGAAGACAACAACAAAAGAATGTGAAAGGGTAGTTGGATACCTTGTATACTTAGTATTATGGATCTTCATTGCCCAGTAGCCACACGGGGTTGAGATGTGCTCTAAGTGTACAATAAAATACCTATCGGATTTACAGGCCTTGGCACTCCTCCCCCCCCCCAAAAAAGCTATTTTTTTACATCAATTTCATGTTGAAAAGGATTTTTTTTTGATAGGCCGGGCAGAATAAAATATATTGTTTAATTTCATCTCTTTATACTTTTTCAGTGTGGCTGCTAGAAACAAATCTGGCTAGCACTGTATTCTGTCCGAGAGTGCTGTTACAGATGTTCTGGTGAAGAATACAAGCTCAGCATGGCTTTCCTGTGGTCAAAACCATTGACGGGAAGTGAACATTTGTAAAACTTGAAGGTGAAGATGTTATATAATATGTAATATATAATATACAATACCACCCCTTCCCCTCCCACTTTTCAGTGGTTCCAACATTTGAAAACATTAACTTCCAGGGCTGTTTAAGGAAATCATAGTGACACTAACAGCTGTGTGATATAAAGAACTCAGTTTGTCACAACTTTGTGATATGAAGGTAGGGTGTGTTCTCTCTGTTAGAGTCTTGGTGTATTAACAGACGGTGAGTGGCTGGAGGTCCTCTGACTCCAGGTTCAGTTGCATTTGCTCTTCACCATATTTCTACTCATCTATGTTCATGAGCCAGGATCCATCTATACTGTGTGTTGGATTGTAAACAAACACATTTTTTAAAAGGGTGCTTATGGAGGTATCTCTCTGTTCTCTGTTTTGTGTTAATACAACCTATGCAGTCATATAAGACCCCTCATTTAGAAGGGCTGGCACTTGGCTTAATGCTCTTTTGTCACCACCTTGAAATTCTTAATTTTTGAATAAGAGGGCCTTGTATTTTCATTTTGCACTAGGCCCTGCAAATGATGTAGTTGATTTTTTTTTTCTTATGTAGTTATCTGGCATGGGAGTTGGGAGGTGTTGGACAAGAACCAAAACATCTGGCCTTCACTTTACTCCTATGTGTAGTAGGGGGTTTTGCCAGTCCGACTCTCAAGTTTTGTATGTAAATTACATCAGAAGATATGCTGATGGTCCTCCCTTGAGAGTTATGCAAATCAGAGTTTTTTAAAATTATAGTAACACTTTCAAATTAGTGTTTTTTTTAAAACTTTTAATGTTTGTTTTTGAGAGAGACAGAGTGCAAGCCAGGGGAGGGGCAGAGAGAGAGGGAGACACAGAATCTGAAGCAGGCTCTAGGCTCTGAACTGTCAACACAGAGCCCAGCGTGGGGCTTGAACTCACAAACTGTGAGATCATGCCCTGAGCTGAAGTTGGACGCTTAACCAACTGAGCCACCCAGGCACCTCTTGATTTGTGTTTTTTATGGTGGATTTGTCAATGTGCCACCAACTTTTCTTATAAATCATCCATATAAAGAATATGATTATGGGATGGAAGTCGAGATTAAAAGTGTGCTTAAAAGCACACTTAAACAGTCCTGTTGATAAGATAGGAAGATAGGCTAGATCTCCAGATACCTCCAGTTAAGAGGTTTCCTCTGTACAGGCATGAGTGTGAACCCTTACTTGGCAGTATCTGTTCCTGTTTTTTGTTGTTTTAGCTACATCCTACTGCGTAAGGTGCCTCTTCCTTCACATTCCTAAAATTTTAAGCTCTCTTTAAGATTGGACATAACTTCAGCTCTAGAAATAATGATAGCTTACATTATTTTTATTTTCTACATTATTATAATGATAGCTTACAGATAGCTGCCTTCTCACTGGGTCCTCACTGTGTTGTCACATGGTGGGGAGAGAGCTCTCTAGGTCTCCCTCTTCTTGTAAGGGCACCCGTTCTATCAGTTTAGCAGTCTACCCTTATGACCTCACTTAACTCTAATCTCCCCCTTAAAGGCTCTTTCTCTAATACTATCATATTGGAGATTAGGGCTTCAGGATGAATAGGGGGGACACAATTTAGTCCATAGCAACCAGGGAGCTTATTTATCCACTACCATGTTATTAGCATTTAGAACAATATTTAGCACTTACACTATGTCCAATATTTACACAGTAAATGAAAAACAGGTATTAGAGTGATCCTCTCTTAGCATCACTGTGGTTTACTCTGGGCTCTTGCCCATTATTGGAACCAGTTATGACAGTGGGCATTTTGTTCTTGGCTGGAGCCAGTCTCTGCTAGGAAGAATATAGCTTAAAGCATGAGAAGATTGGTAAAACTTGGGTATAGCAGTGTGGGAAATGTCAGATGGAGCATTTAACAAATGCATTCATTTAACAAATATTTGTTAAATATCTACTAAGTACCTAGCGCTGGTATTTGTTAAATATCTACTAAGTGGCTGGCATGGGTATCAGAGGTACAAATGGAGAGCAAAAGATTTTTTGCTTTTCCTGCTCTTACAGAGCTTATAATTTAGTAGGGGAGACAGGGTGATTTAAAGGAAAGGAATACTGTTCACTGAGAATACATATCTAAGTAACCTGACAGACTGGGGAGGGGATAGAGGATGCTTGATATCAACCATGATGGTTGAGAGATGGTCAAGCAGGTGTTAACTTGACCAGGAAGGGAAGGAAAAATGCTTCAACCAGAGGGAACAGCATTTGCAAAAGAGTGGTGATGGCTGGGGGGAGGAGAGCAGTCTAGGAACTGAAAAGAACAGTGTAGCTAGAACACAGCATGAAGGAGAATGGTGTGCCTTGAAGCCAAAGCAGTAGATAGAGGCCAAAGGATTTAGGACTTTATAGGTTATATTGAAAATTTGGAACTCTGTGCTGAGGGCAGTTGGAAACCATTAGAGGGTTTCAAGCAGAGGTTTTATAGCCTGGTTAAGTTTGCATTTTAGAAAGTTCCCTGTGATATTACATAAAGATGAATTTCATAAAGGCCTGAGTATACAGATGAGTAAATCTGTATCAGCACCATAGGCCAGACATGTTGTATACCTTAATTTCTATGGAAACAGTCCTTACGCTGTGAAACTTGGCTGCCTGATTGGAGGAAAGAAGAGTAAATAATTAGGTTGATTAAGGTTTGGGGAACGTAAGCCTAAAGTGAAGGAAATGAAGAAATTGAGGGTCTGTCTAGTAAGAATATAATTGAAATGATTGATATTGAGTTTTAGAGTCTGAAAAAAGGAAATAAACCAGTATATGAATTCTTAGAGGTTTTTCTCAATCATTTAAATTGTATGAGTCTATTGGATCCTGGACTAATAGTTCCTGACAAAAAAGTTTTACAAGATCAAAAAGTAAAGGAAGTATGTTTGAGCTGAATTTATTTAGTATATCCATATTAGGAGTCCGTGACAGGTTCTCTATTGTATAGGGGATGAATGAACAAATCATAGCTTTACCTTTTAAGAGCTGACAACATGGGATGCATGGGTGACTCAGTCAGTTCAGCATTGGACTCTTGGTTTTGGCTCAGGTCATGGTCTCACAATTTGTGAGTTGGGACCTGGGACTCTGCACTCACAGTGCGGAGCCTGCTTGGGATTCTCTGTGTCCCTCTCACCCTGCCCCTCTCCCTCCAAAAGTAAGTAAAAATTGAAAAAAAGAAACTATTAAAAAAAACTGACATCATGGTTGTACAGCTACCTTTTGCCATAAAGATACTAAATGTGTTTGTTCGTTTTTAATCCAAGCTATAACCTTTAGCCAGAATTGATTAAAAACAGATATTTATGTTTTTGTAAAGTAGCTTTTTTAAAAATACCATTTTAACATAGTTATTTTTAGTTGTGCCTTAATGACTCTCATATTTATCTTTTCAAGATCCCATGTCAATATTAATCAAAGTTTATAGAATTGAAATCTGAAAGAGCCTTTAATGATCACTTCATTCAGTTTTTCTCAAATGCAGTGTGTGTACCATTGGTTGCAAACAGGATAATTTTAGGTAAAACATAAGCATTTTTAAAAGATTCCAGTATAGGTAACATATTTAGCATATCATACCCATGATTCATGGATATTATGATAGGTTAAAATCGATTTTCTAATTTTAAAAATAGTCAATTTAAGTAAAAATATTAAATAAAAATAGATATGTGAATGAAGTTTGGCAAACACTTAATCAACTCTTTTGTTATATAGATGAGAAAACAAAAGGACCCCCAATCACAAAGGCCTTTCCAAGGCATATAACTAATGCACATCAGAGCTGGGAATAATAGTCAACTCTGCTCAAAACATCCTACTATTTATTCTGCATATAGAGTTGCTTCTTATTGTTGAAAGTTGAGAAAGAGACCTCTGTCTTAATAATGGCATTGTATTTTAAATCTCCGTTGTCTATTATGATGGCCACATGTGGCTATTTATTAAAAATAAAAGGTAAATAAGATTTAAAAACATACTAGTCACAATTTTAGTGCTTGGTAGCCACATGTTAGTAACTACTCTATTGGACAGTATAGCTAGAGAACTTTTCTATCGCTGCAGAAAGTTCTATTGGGATAGTGTTGCTCTAAACTGTTGCTTAATAACATGACTCAACTTTTTAAAGTTTTACCCCCTTCAAAAGGATGCTGCTTATTAATTTGCTCACCATACTGAAGTTATATTAGCTTTGAGGCTAATGAAGTTAGTAGTCACAGTGCAATTAAAATACTTGATCATGGGAAATAAGGCCAAAATGTAGTTCTCAGAGTCTTACCACCTCTTCTTATTGGGAGAAGTTCTTTGTCCTTCTCTCTTCTTTCCTCTCCTTCTCTCCTCTTCCTTCCCCCTTCTTCCCTCCCCTCCCCTTTTCTTTTCTTTTCTTTTCTTTTCTTTTCTTTTCTTTTCTTTTCTTTTCTTTTCTTTTTTTTCTTTCCTTCAAGCAGGGGAGAAGGGCAGCAGGACAGAGAGAATCCCAAGCAGGCTCCACACCTAGCACAGAGTCTAACATGGGGCTTGATCCCAGGACCCTGGGATCATGAACTGAGTTGGGATCATGACCTGAGCCATCCAGGTGCCCTTATTTTTTTCTTTTTAATCAATAAACATTATCATGAATTCATAGCAGTTAGAAGAAATATGCTGAGAAACAGAGTATCCATATAGAGAATTTCCTGAATTTCCAAGTAGTTTATTCATCTAGGATTATATTTTGTTAACATTTTATTTTTTTTTCAAGTTGGTTTCCATATAACACCCAATGTTCATCCCAACAAATGCCCTCCTCCATGCTTGTGACCCATTTCCCCCTCTCCTCCATCCCCCCATTAACCTTTGGTTTGTTCTCAGTATTTAAGAGTCTCTTATGGTTTGCCTCCCTCCCTCTCCTCAGCAATTTTTTTCCCCTTGCCCTCCCCTATGGTCCTCTTATACTTTCTCCTATTCCACATAGGAGTGAAAACATAGGGTATCCGTCTT